TTTTTCTAAAGTTCCTCTTGTCATAAGTTAAGTATATGGGAGACTTTCTCAAACTTTAGCATGAAATATTGGCCGTGCTTCACGCACCCGTATCTGTAAAATTTTTACAGATATCCTATTCAAAAAGATCAATAAATAAACCTATAAGTAAGCCATTGTTAGTGAAATATTTATAAAACTAGATTAGCGACATGCATTTGTCGGGAATTACAGCAAATTATACAGACAAGGAACAACTTTCGATTTGTTTACAGCCAATACCAATTCATCGCCTTAGTTGTAGTTTTTGAAGTGTCCTAGAGATTGAAATTAACTACATTTTAATCAATTATAAAGATGCGATGCTTCTTCTAAAATGTTAGTTATCGAAACTATGCAGAACCCAAAGAAATTTTTGATTCACCAGTTCAAGCCAGCGCTTTAAAAAAATTGTGTTGTTCAATTTTTATGTTGTTCATTGTAAGTTTATGAGATATGAAGGAATCAATTTTTTAAAAATAACTACATCTAACGTACTCCTTTTATAACGCTCTCCTTCGCTCGACTTCTTCTAAAAGTTATATATCTTTACCATTATCCGAAAAGTCGAGGTTATGCAGGAACAATCCGCGTTGCCTTCAAAGTGCATGCTTCAAATTCTTAAATCTCCCCTTCGTCATCTTAAAAAGCCTTCAGTTTAACTTAGAACACAAATGACGAATGGTTCTTATAATAAAATTGGGGTTAGGATTAAATGTCAATAACCTCAAGCGATGAAATATCTCAGTTAGTTACAAGAAAAAGGCGGCGCGACTTTAGGATACCGAATCGTATTGATTCTTATAATGTAATGCAGAATATGTAGAATGAGTTGCGATTTGGTTTGTCAATGTGCCACTTGCAACTCAGGTAGTGCAGTAATCACTGCTCTTATCAGAGATGAGTTTAAACTTACCACTAAATCCGCAACTGCCAAGGAGAAGATTAGATAATACTGTGGACGACCTCGTAAATCGCGTTCCCAGGCTATAGCAACGATTACAAATAAGTTCCCAATCACACAGAAAAGTATCAATAATAGCAGAATCCCCGCCAATGTCAGGGTTTCCATAAAAGGTCGCGACGATTCGTCGGCGATTGCTGGCGATATGCCGCCATTTGCCGTTCCGGCCAAACTTTCATCGAGCAAAGCGCTAACGATGATTGCAGAAGCGTTGTGATCGTTCAACATCCCGTACCAAACCTCTTCATCTGCAAGTATACATCATTCCGATGATTCTGTAGGTGCTCTTTGGATGAAATGTTCTTCAAAACACCGATTTGCGCGAGAAGGAAAGAGCTGCAAGAAAGCACAGCAGAGTAATGAGATTGAGCGATTCGAGGGAATAGGAAGAGTGGAATGGGTGACTAAAGAACTTTCTGGATTTTGAGTAGAGCGGTCACTGAGCGAAGTGGTTTCTTCAAG